AAATCTGGTGATACTTGTTAAAATTGATGTGCACAACTATTGAAATGTCGTAAGGTGTTCCTCTAAGCATAAGGAAAACACTTGGAGAAGCTCAATTTGAAAGCTCATACTCTTCCTAGTGAACATTTTTACTATGGCATCGGATCGTTGACTTTTTACATGTATTAGTTTTTAAGTACTATGAGTTTAAAACAAGATGCACTCTACTACCTTGAACATGCCTGGACTTTTTGTCCCAAGCTCTGGGCACCTGACTACCTGTTTTAGTGAGGATTTCCCACGAAAAGGATGAAGCTTGGTTTTGAAACCTGGTAACTAAATGCTAATATCTTGCCTGGCAGGCCAGGATTCTGGGGTGGAGGGAGGCCTTTACACTTATGAGTTAGACATGAGTCCCAATCACATTCTCATAATCAATATTGATCCCCACAATATCCTCCTAATAGTAGTGCTGCCTTAAAGTTAACCTCTTTCAAGAACATGGCTGATTGCTATCTGGCTGCAGCTTTAACTATAAGAGCAGATTGTTGCTACTGCTTTCATTGCTTAGGGGAGACAGTTACTTCCCTAACTGGTGTTAGGTTACTCCTCCAATAAACTCAGGAACCTTTAGGGTTAGGGTACTTTGTTAAGTGGTTATATGGTTACCTGTAATTAGGGGGGCTTGCATGCCCGAGGGTATATAAACTGATGTTGGGAATATATTCTCTCTGTTGGGACCTGGTTCCTGAAGCCATGGGGGATGTAAGCACCCCAAAACTTTTGTCTGTCTCTTAATTTCTCCCCTTCAACTACGCAATCATCCCTTAGGACCCATGGATGTGAGGCTGGATCTCACAGAATATTACATGTTTTGGGTGAGAAGATGACATTACATTTATGGAAGGTGATGTCCTTATTCTTAAAATAAATATCCTGAAGTATTGAGGTGGAGTGTGAGGATATTTGCAATTTATTTCGAATGGTTCAAGTAAAAATGTATGTGGGAGGGTTTATAGTGACCATGGTCAATTCATAGGGCCCTTCTAGCCCTGGTTCCTTATATGAAATACTGTGGTTCTGGACTTTACACGGCTGAGCCT